CTCAGATGAGGAAGAGCAGAATCACTCCATGGATGCTCAGCACCCTCTCCCGCTCGGCCTTCTACTGAGAGCAAACCTGGGATCTGGAATTGCTTCTAGATTATTTGCAAGTCATCTGCACTCCATTGCTTTGAATATACACAATGCATGTTTATACTCCTAATATTTAATTTCGTATCTACTGTAAAATATTTTTTGTATTCTGTTCTCACTTCAGTGTGCTAACATGCTTGATTACTTCATAAGCTGCAAATGAGGGGCAGAATTATGAACCCTCGTAACATGATGCTGTCAAACTCAACAAAACATGCACAAGACCATTACGACATCAGACGCTTTTCGTTGGGTCATTTTAATCAATTTGACTTCAGAGGGCAGCTAATTTATCACTTAGCTAAACAAGTATTTCCTCTACTTGTCATCAATTTAAGTAATTAAAATGGTAAACTTTGCTACATGGCATGAAATAAACGCCCAAAGATAATTTGAAGTAGGTAGATGATACAGTCTAATAAGATGAATGCAAAGTATTGTTTAAATACTTTCCTACATGTCAGTAGTTTGCAGAAATGTCATATTCCAGTAACACTGCTTGTACTGATATATACCCTTGTATACTGATTTTAACCCTTAGCTTATGCAGTGCTTAGTTTCTTCCACTAAGATTGAACATTTGTTTGTTTCCTTTCTTCACACATTAAAGTTTTTACTTTTTTACTTTATTGTTTGGGGATCAGAGGATGACAGAAAAAATGAGTGAGACAAGTTCTCAGGATGTACCTTGTTAGTTCAAGTAAGCCTGCAGACCTGACATTGTATCCTCTCAGCAATCTTAATTTTCCTATGAGTGTTTTCAAGTTGTACAGGAAACTGGTTTGGAGACCTCAGTTGGAATTTGTGCAGTTTTCCTACTCCGATGCTATGGACCTCTTCCAGCATGTGGTTTCTCTTCTTTCATTGAACCATAAGGGGAAGGGAAGAGAGAGCAAATGGGCATCAGAAGTGCTTCTGACTTCCCACTTCTGTTTTTCTGTTTGGTTGCACATTCTAAACAACCATTCTCGTTTTGTCCAAACAATATGAATATTCTTCACTAGCTATGAGTTTTTGTATGTTTTGGTTTATCTTGTGCACACAGATTGATTAAATCATTTTAAATTTCTATGCAGAGATATATGATAAAGGAAAACATTTCAGAATTGGTTTAGTTTATTTTGAAATTGAAATCATTCAGTAACTATTTTTGAAACAAAGTGTGTTACCTATATTTGTTTCAATAGTTTTTGCAAATAAAGAGGTAAATTAAGGTCTTATGGCTTAAAATAAAGTACTATGTTTATGTTCAGATTGAGAACATGATAGTTTCGAATTTATGATATTTTTTGACAATAGAGTAGTCTTGTATTTCGCTCATTTGGTAACAAATAGTCTTGCTGCTTTAAAAAACAAACGAACAAACAAAAATACCTCTATGAAGTTTGGTTTTGTTATGAGCATTTCAACTTCTGATTGAATGTTCATTATGATTAGTCTATTACATGAACATTTATTATAATCAAATCACAGAGGACTCTGCTGTTTTGTGCTCTACTGGCTATAGTGATATTCTTCTATGTTTATGTAATACATGCTTTTGCCATATTTTGCCCAGTTCCTGTCTGGGTGACAAGTGCACCACTGACACTTCAGCTAAAATAGAAGCAAATCTCACAGAGACTTTTGACTTAGTCTTGTATTTCTAGCTAGCAGATAATTAATAGGACAGGTAGTTGATTTCTGTTATGCAGAAGGAGGTTGCTAGTAAGGTGGAAGTAAATGTTAGTAAAGTTTTTCCTGATGAAAGCAGGCCGATATTTTATGCTGTGCAATGGACTGAGGAGGAGACCATATTGGAGTGTATTATAAGATGGTATCTCCACAGTTTTCTTAAAATCCAGAAGATTTCCATTTTTGTGTCTTTAAGCCAATTTCATGGGATTTTGGGTTGTTTCTGTTGAGAACCTGCACTGACAAGTCACAGGTTTACCAACAAGGTGCCTTTTCTACTGTTGAAAACCAGACTGGGTTCATTCAACGTGGTCAGTGAGGAGTTGACATGTGGTGCTGCCATAGGTGGAGGCATCTGAGCTCTGGGCCATGTGCTGAATGCATCCAGCAGTACTGCAGGGCTTTCTCTGCTCTCACACTTAGAGAGGAGCCAAACACAACACTTATCTGCCTTGGGCTCACAGGTGGGTTCATGTCTCCTTTCATTCCCCTAAACGAGGTAAATGTTTCTTATGCAGCCCTAATTATGTTTCCATGTATATTAAAGAATAGTAGAACTCCCAGTGCTGGGAAGGGTGCCTGCTCTTTGTCTTTTTTAGGCCATCATGTTTGAAGAAAATTAGTAGGAATAGATAATAAAGTCACTGTTAGCTCTGACCGAGAGTCTAGGTAGGCAGTATCAAGTCTTGTAAGCTAATTGAATTTCAGAGGATTTTAATAACATTTTTATTGTTTCACATTGAAAATGCTTTTAACTTACATCTTAGTTAATATGAGCAATATGTTATAGGCCATTACGAATCAACCACAAACCTGCAAAGAATTAATCTTTCTCAGAGTAAGATCCCGAGAGTAATCATAATTATTTAATAGTTTGCTTTGTTCTTTCTTAGAAGAGCTGAAAAGAACTTAAGTATGGAACTATAAAGGAAATTGCTTGGACTATCACTAAAGCTAATAGTGATACTTTTTTTAAACACTAATCAAATGTATCCATAAACAAACACAAGTAACTGATTAAATCACCATTTGAGTATCAATAGTAAATCTCTTTAGCTTTAAAATTGCTGTAACTGTCTGTAAAGTAAATTATGGCTCTTACATGTTGTAAAGGCATGGTATTTGGGGAGTATTAAAAAAAAAAAAATGAGAGAGAGAGAGAAAGAGAGAATGTAGAAACAGAAAAGAGGACAAAGGAGAAACTTATCAGAGCAGATTTCTTACTGTATTACTCATACGAATGAAAGAAAATGTAAGTCCAAAGCACATTTTTTTCTTAAAGTGGTGGCTGGTAATAAGGAGATTTTGAGCCTGATTCTCGATCTGAAAAGCTAGTAGCATTGTACCTTACTTAGATATGTCGTGAAGGACCATGACAACAAAAAGTTAAACTGTAGCAGAACGGTGTAAATGAACCTTTAAAGGTCATGAGTTAGAAAGGCACCAGCAGTGATACAGCAAAGACAACAGGAGAAGCCACTAGAATTCCAACAGGAGAAAAGTGTAAACATTTCTTTCTACAATTTTTTCTTTAAATAAATAATCAACTTTTAATTGTTACAAGTTTTTCATTTATTTATTTAAAATATCAAGTAATTTTAAACATCTGCCAGTATTATGTAGTCATAGGACTGCAGGCAAACATTGAGATATTGTTTAAATAACTAGTAAGTTTTCAAATGCTTCTCTCGAAGTTATTATTCATGGATTTTCTGTGATTATGGTTAATAAATCACATACAAAGCATGTGAAGTGTACTTGCATTCGTAATGTGTTTTTTGAGATCATCCAAAGACTTGTTAAAGGCCTTTCTGTATTTGTGGTGCTTTTTCTCTAAGGCCATGATTTAGTTTAGTTTGGTTTAGTTTGTGTAGCAGTGGCAATGAGAAGATGGTTGGGCTGGATGATCTTACAGGTTGTTTCCAACCTTGTGATTCTATGATTCTATGATTATTTGATTGTAAAATTTGCCATAAATATGTACCACTGCAAATGCAGGCAGTCCTGCCTTCCCTCAGTTCCAAGCACCATCAGATAATGTTTTAGCTAGAAAGTAGCAACAGGTGATCATTTGTTTATTGTTAATAAACTGAAGTCATTAAGCGTACATGGTCAGTGCCTTATAGGAACCATAGGAAAAGCATAATTAAAGTGATTTTTGAATTGGTAATATACCAATCCTGAAACTGTAGGAACATACCTCTTTGTATATTTCTTCTTCAATATGGTTTTTTTGGAGTTAGAAATTTAAATATTGTAAACTAGGCAGCTACAGGAGATGATACTTTAAAGTGGCAGCAACAGGCCAGTGTTAGCTCCGTCTCTCTCAAGCTGTTAATAAATTGCTGTGTACTGACCAAAAAGCTGTCTCAAAAAATGTATTCCTGCATTGTGATAATGCACTTGAAAGGTCATTTCTCTGTCTTACCTCTCTGACCATAACACCATCTGCTTCTCCCTTTTTATTGGCATCCTGTTTTTCGTTGCAGCAAATATTAGCTTAAAATGTACTTCACATGAGCTTCTAACATCGTTCTTGGTCATTCGTGTGTTACTGATTTGTATTCCATTCAGGCTGTGATGATGAACTTGTATAACCCTCTTGTTGGGTTTTCACTGACCTGCTTTATCTCCTTTTGTTCTTAATTTTGGGAAGAACTTCTTTATAAATATTAACTAATTAGCTGATTAAGTTTCTTCAAATGTTTCCTTAACATCACCTTACTACAAAGCTAATAGAAATCTTGATTAAACTGAAATCATCATACCAATCATTATCTGAGGTTTCTAAAATATAAATATGGTTAAAAGAAAAACGTTTTCCTAGGATGAGGTGTTCTGAATCCAGAAGGATGTGATGATGGCTGTTACCTTGGCTTTGCTCTACAACCTTCATTGTTCCCACAGCCTAGCATCAATTGTTTTTGTAAGGAGATGGAAAGGGGAGTTGAGAAAGCTAGAAAAGGAAGGAGAGAGACTCCTGCCACAACTCACTGTCCCTCTAAACAATATATGCATTTTATTTGCATGTGATTGTTGAGAGCTACTATAACAATTCTTTTGGACTTCAGGTAACAAAATATTTGAAGGGAAATGCCATTATTCTTCTATTTAGCATCTAATGATGATTTTCTACCTGGAAAGTAAGGAAAGATTTTTAAGTATTTTAAATTGTGAATTGTGTTATTGCAAAGTAGTTCAAGAAACACTGTTTGTTTCTTCTTTTCCTCCAGATAAATATCCTTCAGTGGAAATTATTGCCAGTATGTATCAATCTGTATCTGAAACCAGACACCCTTTGCAAACAGAGGAACAAGAAGTAGGCATTGATCCTTTGCAGAGTTACTTGAACAAAACAGAGGAAGGTGAGTTTTGTATTTCTGTGGGGATGTTTTATTTTAACTTTATACCTACAAACATAATGTGTCGTGATGACTATACCTGTCATAATTTGTTTAATTTTCTCAATGAAGTTGACAAGAAAACTTAAAGAACATTTCACAGTTTGTGTAGTACACTCTGATACTAAGGAAAACCACGAAAAGTCAACTTTCAATTTCAGACAGAAACATTAGCCAAATGTTTAATGCTCTGTCATCCTTTTTTAATCATAAACCAAACACTGATTTCAGCATAAGAATATTGAAATAAAGCATGGCTTTGAGTTACTTTTTGAAAGATGGGCTCTTTCACAATTGCTCTGGTTCCAGGGTTTTTTAACCTCTTTATTTATTCAAACTGTGATAAAGTGAAATGCATTATTTTGGAAGAGTTTATAGAAAAAAAAAGGGTGGTTTTCATATTTTTTGTTTGACCTTCTTTTGATAAGAATATTGTCATATATACTTATTTTTTAAAATGCTGAAAGTTGAGGCAGAATGAATGGACTCTTAACAGCAGAAGCTACTTTGTAACCCGAAATAAATTTTAAAATGCAATGTAATGAACAGTGAGAGCAAAATACTTGCATAATGCAATGCATGCCTGCACCGCTTTTCTTTTCTACTTATTTGCTAGTGGTGACAGTATAGTTGGTTCGAAGAAAGTGATAAGCTTAACAAGAAGCCAAGATCCTTGTCATGAAAACATTCTTCAAGTACTCAGTTAGACACAATGGCACCTTAACTACCTGCAATTTTCCAGTCATTGAGCACATGTACCAGGAGGGCAAACTAAAAAATGTGTTTTAAATTACTGAGTTGAAACAACTTTGTCACATTTCTTAAGTCCCTCACTCACATCAACCATTCTTTGTGGGTGTATCTGTCTATAAATCTTCTGTTTACTAGTGCTTAATAAGAAAGCTATGTCAAGATTTGCTTAGTCAGTTTTACTACTTCAGTTTAGAATAAGCCAGTGCGTTGCTTTAAAATACGTGGGTAAAACTTCATTGCTCCTTTGAGGGTTTTTTGTTGTTGTTTGTTTGCTTTTTCTTCATGGCTTTATAAAGATTTTTGAGTATCAAAAAGTTAGAATGAACATCTAGGGGATAGTATTTTAAAACCTGATGATTAAATGAAATAGCTTTTTCACGTCAGTGTTCTTCCTCTGTTATATATGACATCTTAACAGTATAAAGCCATGTTGGTCTGACAAACTAAAAGCAATTTTATAAGTATTTCTAGATACTTGAAAATAATCCGTTGCAATAACCTAAAATAAAAACCGTTTTCCTGAGGAAGTATAGTTTGCCTCTACTTTACACCAATCAAGAAAGATGAGCTTTTTCTTCTGATTTTTTTCCTTGAAAATATTGGAAATTTTCTCAACTCCGCTTCAAGGAAAACCAAGATTTTTATCCTGTTAAAAAAACTCGGTAAATTAATTTTAGCCTTTATTGTGCCAGAAATGATTAGTTACCTTGACTGAAAAGGTTTCTCGTTTTTATCCCAACCTTAACATCTCTATGACATACAAAGTTATTGGTATTGAATTGATGTTTAAAAGTGCCATTAATTCATTTACCCCAAATGTTCATTAACAATGTAAATGTATGCTGATGTTCTATGAGACAAGGAAGTGACTAATGACTCTTCGCACTAACAACACTTAAAATGAATAGAAACTTTAGATAGCTAATCTTGAAGTAATCAAGACCCTCATTCAGCCTGGCATCTCTGTATGCTCTAAAACAGCTGTCAACTGTTAAAAATATATACACAACACCACATACGCACATGCAAAGATAAAGATATGTAAATACATGGTTCCCCAAGTCATAAAGGTTACCAACTATGGTACATTTTTGATGTTCTATCTATGTAAATATTTTATATAAAGCATCCATTTCATCTTCATTTTTGTGATTTTTTTTTTTTTTTACTGTGAGACACATACTGCATTTTAATTTGAAACTTTATATATCCAAACTAAATATTTGAAGTTTTAATATTTGATTTTAAATAAAACATATATTTATGCCGTGTTACGTCTTTGAGCATCAAGGTATGGCATCGATTTTGTCCATCTGGCCTGGTTACAAGTTCAGAATAAGGAAGTAATCAGTGTTTTGCAAATGATGTATCTAACTGTTGAAACAAAATAATTAATACTTAGGGGATGGATGGAGAATTGTCTCCATTCATATTGTGATACATATGCACAGCCTTTCTTACTTTTGCGTATGCATTTTCTAACAGTAGCTCTGCAGCGTATTAGAAAATTGTATGAATCCTTATCTCATTGAAGCAAAATGTGAAGTCCCACTTAAAAATACCGTAGTATACTATGAGGATGGGGAAGATGCAGCTATTTCTTTAATACAAAAAAGACCTTGCATAGTTGAAGTTGCTTGAATTTAGCAAAGGGATTCTAATGTGTGAAAGCTGTGTTTAAGCAAACACACTATTGCTTTAGTAGGAAAAATTGATCAATGTTCTATATAATATTCTGAAATACCAGGACATGTTTGAAGCTGAGCTGAGTGCTTAAAGGATTACCGTGGAGACAAAGTTATAGAAGTCTTCACTGGGATGAGGTAATAAAGCACACCACTATTAAGTACACTGAAAATAAGTACATAATAATAGAGCTAGTCTGATTTGCTAATGTATGCGGAGGACTGTGTTAAGTGTTTGTAGCTGATACTGAAATGTAGAAATGGGAGATATAATGTCCAGTTGAAATTGTCTCCTAAGGCACTCATAGAAAAGAAACCTTGGAAATTTGTGGATTGTTGTTAAGTATAACTGGCTGGAAAACAATATACATAGATTAGGTTTTTTTCATTTATGGTCAGTGAGGAAGAATGTGGTGGATGGGGTTCCAGAAAGATGTTTATTTAGTCTAGCAGTACTTGTTGCTTTTATTAAAATTTCTGTGAAGTTACAGGAGGAAAACGTGTTTTATTAAAGATATGGCTGTTAGCACAGTGAAGGGCTAACACTGAATTCAAAGCATTTTTGAGATTTTAGATAAGTGCCCTGTGAATAATAAGACATATTTCAGTAGGAGGATTTAATGTTGCAAATGCAACATTGATAGATAGACAGATTGTCTATCTCAACAAATAAAACTAGAACACAATAGATGAGGTAAATTTAGAGAAAGATCCAGGTATTCATATAAAGGTTTGTTTAACTGTGGTTCTTTGAATGTTGAATTACAACAAATCATGAGAATGTGCTTGTTTGCAATTTTACAAAGTCAGGTTTCTAGTTAACAGTTTACAAACTGTTAACTAGGCTACAAACTAGGTTTCTAGTTAGCAGTCAAGAGTTTTCTTATTCTCCTGCAATACTTAAATATTAAAAAGAATAGGATATATTATTTCATTTTTTTTTAATTTTTTTCAATATAAACGAATGCATGTTCATTGCATATATTCAATCATATATACTTTTAAATTGCAGTTTTAATAACTAGCAAAAATTATGAGAATGGGATTCTCATTTTTGCAGCCTTTCAATTCAAATGGTATTTTTAAATAATTTTAGGAACGTTTTATTTGGGTTTATAACTTTTGGATCTTAGTGTATTGTCATTTGCGTGCTTGTACCTATAACTTTTTCCTTACTTTTGACTATAATAAGTAGGTGTTATCTTAATACTTTTTGTGTTCAAAAAGTTTCCATGGTGTTCATTTTATTCATTTCATTTTGTATGATTCTAGTTATCTTCATCAGTATAATATGGTGAATCTTTTTGGTCTCCAGATGACACTATAAACAATGAATATAGGATGGGAAATTTCAGGAACTTTACTCTTCTACTTTATCCTTCTGTGCTACATCTAACAAACACTTCGTTCATTTCCAAATGCTTCAGGTTTATATTACATTTGAACAGATTAATTAGGGTAACTTTCTGAGCTGCAGTAAATTTTTACTCAAAGTTATAGAACTCTCCACATTCTGACACAAGTTTTGAAGAATGTAGTTGGTAGTATTCCCATTTCATTCATGTAATAAGAAAGTTGATCCTCTAAGGACAGACTGGAACAATGCGTTTAATGCTCTTCAATTTAATTTGCTCAATATCACAATTAATACAATTAAGGTCACTTGAAACTATTAACGAATTGGGTAATTTACTTTAACAATGTCAGTGTGTTCTCACAATTACATTTGCTTTAATTAGTGTACAAGCTATTATTTAATAGCATACTTCAGATAGAAAAATGTAATGTGTTCTTTGTTCTTAGTAGAAGAAAAGGGGAAACCTTTAATGGGTAGAGTGTTTTGGATTTCCTATTTGGGGGGTATATTTCTTGTCTAACAGCTTTAACTGGTGGTGAGAACAGAGAAGGATGGCATAGCTGGAAGGATAAAGATAACTATTAAAGTGTACGATTGATATTAATCTAGTTAAAATAGATCAGTTGCTCACCTCACACTTACCATTGCATCCCTTGCGATTTTCAAGGCTGTCATGAAAAAAAAGTGAGATAGTAGAAGAACATTCATGTTTCCATTTTGACCTTATTCTGTGAGTTTCCATTTTTCCTTTTGGAAGAATTTTGCTGTTCTGGTATAAACCTCTTTACCTTGATCACTACGGAGTCTTGCTGTATAAAACCATACCTTACATCATAATTTGAACAACTTGATTTATGCCATATTATACAGAAAATATGCAAAAAGCAGAGGGAAACGAAGTAACAAAATAAATGTTCACCTTCAGAGAACCAAATAAGAGGCACATGCTGTCAAATAATTTCCCCAAATTTTAAGTATGATTCACGTGGGGACTATTTTGATCTCAGATACATCCTTTTACAATCATTCTGGTGTTAAGAGAGTTACTGGTGGCAGAAAATTATTGTCTCCTATTCAGTCAATAGCTATTCAGTCTTATTATTTTCTACCCTTAAAATCCTCCTCAGTTTGCCCTGTATGGCATTCATCCACATCTGTGTTTTGAGAGA